GTGTAGCACTTGCCCACGGATAAAGCTCAGAAGTCTGGAATGGTTAGGATAGAAGGATTAACGGAAATGAAAATGACGGGGAGGAAGTGAAAAAATTGTTTCATTGTAGTTATTGTATTTAATAACTTAAAACAAAATGTGTATGAATGGTTGAATGAAAAACCAATGTGCGTTGTAAACTTTCACTTGAATCATAATAAATATTCAAAAAAGGAAAATAAGCAAAACCCCAACTTGATCTGTGCTATATACTGCTCCAGAATGCAATCACACAGATTATCAATTATCTTTTAATTTATTCAACAGTATATTTTGATATTGATGTAGAGTCAAATTTACTACCTACCATTTTTCAGATAAGTTTCTGAATTTTGTATTTCTGTAATACATGGTGCTGGGAAGAATGGAGGGCTTTTTGTTTCCCAAAAAATTTAAAGAAAGCATTGTTTCAAATTAAGTCATATTCTAAGATTCCAGATGGACATATGAATTATATCTTAAAGAAAACAAAAATCCTCACTACAAGACCAATAGCAACATCATAATAGGTGGAGAAAAGATTGAAGCTGTCATTGGTTTCATTTTTCTTTGAACCACAATCAGTGGTAACAGCAGTCAAGAAATGAAAAGATGTGTGGCACTGGGAAAATCTTTCAATGACCTCTCCAAGTGCTAAAAAGTAACATTATCACTTTAAAGATGAAGGTGTACCTGATCCAAGCTACAGTGTTTTCAATTACTTCCTATGCATCTGAAAGTTGGACAATGATTAAGGATGATCGAAGAAAGAAAGATAACTTTGAGCTGTGGTAATGGAGAAGAATAATGAATATCCCGTGGACTGCTGTTTATCTTGGAGGAAATGCAACCAAGGCTCTCCTTGGAGGCAAGGAGGGTGAAAATTGGTCTCATATGCTGTAAGCATATTGTCAGGAGGGGCCAGTCCTTGGAAAAAGACATTATGCTGAAAAAAGTTGGAGGACCATGACCTATCATAGTGTTGTCTGTGATGAGGCCCAGTGGGGAGGATTTTTGTTTTCTTGTTGAGATGTAAAGAATAATGAAGGCTGTAGTCTTTAATCTTCTGCAGCAAGTGTTTCAAGTCCTTTCCGCTTTTAGCAAACAAAGTTGTGTCATCTGCATTATGCTGGCTGTTGGTCATTCTTGCAAATCTGTTGCCATATTGTTCTTCATATGGTCCAGCTTCTTGAATTTTCTCAATATACAGATTGGATATGTGTGGAGAAAGCATACGGCTCTTAAACACACTTTCTTGATTTTAACAGTGCAATACTCCCTTGTTCGTTTGGGCAATTACTTCTGTGTCTACATATAGGTCTTGGTCTTGGCCTAGGTTTTGCATAAACACAAGCATTTTGGGATTAAAATTCTTCTCAATGTTAGTCCATGATTTTTTGAACCCACACAGTTAAAATGCCTTTGCATAATTAATAAAACACAAATAAATATCTTTCTGGTATTTGCTTAGTCAAAGTCCATCTAACTTAAGCAGTGATATCTGACTTCTGAATCCAGCGTGAATTCTGGCAGCTGCCTATTGATGGGTAATCTTCATTTTTGAGTAATCTTTGACAACTTTTTACTGGCATGTGGTATGAATGATATTGTTTGATAATTTCCACATTCTGTTGCCATGGAGTTGAAAACAACTCATAGCTAAGCTTCCAGCAGGCTTCTGAAGCTGTATATTATGTGGGAGGAGATTGCCCATATCTCTCCCAGGGAGACACTGGTGGATTATAAACTACTTCCTACTTTCACAGCCTCCTCCTCTGTTAGTGTGGATAATAACAGAACTCATTTCTTATGGTCGTTTTAACAGATTAAGAGAATGGTTTGTGCAAAGAACTCAGAACAACATCTGACACATGATGACTCACATAGAAAATGTTAACTCTTCTTTTGAGTAGGAAATTTACTGCTCCCTAAAATCTGCAGAATTTCTGGCTGCTCCCTATTGATGGACTGTCCCTGCCATTTAAAAATAATCTTTGATATGATTTTACTTGCATGTGATATTAATGATATTGTTTGATACTTTTCCACTTTCTATGCTATAGAGTTGGAACCAACTTGAAAGATGCATTGCAAAGGGAAAGTCTGCTCTCAGGGACCTCTCCAAAGTACTGAGTAGAAATGATGTCAGTTTAAAAACCAAAGTTTGCTTTATTTAGGCCATAGTTTTTTCCATCATTAGCTATGCTGCTGGCAACTGGATGATAACTAAGGGTGGCAGAAATGCTCTTTGAAAGCAAGAATGGTGAAATTTAATCTGACACACTTTGAGTATGTTGTTAGGAAGGGCTATTCTTTAGAAAGAGACTTTATGCTTGGAAAGGTGGAGGGTCATTGAAAGAGGGGAAGATCCTCAAGAAGATGAACTGACAATGACAGAAGCAATGGGTTTGACTATGTCAGAGATAATGAGGATGACACAGAATAGGACAGGGTTCAGATTGTTGTTCATAGGGTCGCTATGACATCATATTCAACTCCATGGCACAGAATAGCAACAACAAGACTTGTAGAGGGAGTGCTGTGGCTTAGTGGTAAGAAGTTGAGCTGCTAACCCAAAGACATGTGATTTGAATCCACCAGTTGCCTCACAGGAGAAAAGATGGGCATTCTCCATGCGATATATACTAAGTCTGAAAACCCTCTGGAGGGTCAGTTCCAAGTTGATGCTACTTACCAAAAAAACTGACCAATGTAACTCTGGTAGGGTAAAGGTTAAATCTCTTGGCTGCTAACCTCAAGGTCTTTGGTTCAAATCTACCGGAGAAGTGGCAGTTTGCTTCTGTGAAGATTTTCAGCCTCAGTTGTTGTGCTGGAGACGTGTGTTGAATATACCATGAATTGATAGGAGAACAAACAGGTTTATCATGGAGAGGGTGAAACCAGACTGCTCCTTGGAGGTAAGGATTTTGAAATTTCATCTGACATACTTTGGGCATATTGCAAGGAGATACCAGTCCTTGGAGAAGGATATCATGCTTGGAAGAGTGGAGGGAGAGTGCAAGAGAGAAAGAACCTGGATAAGATTGATTGACTCTGTGACTGGGGTCAACGATGAAGTTGGCTCAAGATGGAACAAGGTTCAGAGCTGTTGTATATAAAGTCACTATGAGTTACAAGCAGCTTGACGGCAAACAACAACAGCAACAACAACAACATTTTCTAAGGAGACTAAGTCTCTCCCTGTTGTTTTTTACCATTAAGTCTGAACTGACTCACCAGAAGAGATTGCTAATTCTTCTTCTGTGGAGCAGTTGGGGGATTTTAGCCATGTTCTCTTGGGATTGCAGTGTAGTGTCTTACTACTAGGCTGCCAGAGCTCCCTAGTTTTAAGGAAGCTATTGTTAGGTGTCATTGAGTGGAGTATGACTTATGATCCTATGAACAGAAACTTGTCTTATCCCATGCCATCCTCACAATTTCTGACATCCTTAAAGGTCATTAACTATTCTCTTTAGTTAGTGTTCACAGGGTTTTCAGAAGCCTTTTATTTAGGAAGTAGATGCCCTATCCTGCTTCCTAGAATGCTTTAATCAGGGAACTCCACCAAAACCCAACCACGATGGGAAACCCTTTTGGAATCTGACACACCAGTGGCAAAGATTTCAGTGTTACACCAACAGTTGGGGACCTTTCCACATTATTGAGGAGTAGTGATGTTTGAGGACTAAGCTGCATCTGATTCAGACTATAGTCTTCTCTGATTACTAGCTATGCATCTGAGACCTGAACAATGAATAAGGATGATAGAGAAAAAATTGACACCTTTGAACTGTGGTGATGGAGAAGACGACTGACATCCTATGAATGGCCAAGAGAACGAATAGATATGTCTTGGAGAGTGTGAAGCCAGAGTGCTCTTTGGAAGCAAGAATGATGTGGCTTCACTTCACATACTTTGGACATATTGCTAGAAGGTGCTATTCCTTAGAGCGGGACATGATGTTGGGAAGAGTGGAGGGCTGGTGAAGGAGAGGAAGACCCTCAACCAGGTGGATTGACATGGTGACTGCTGCAATGGGCTCTTGTGTGTCAGGAAGTGTAAGGATGCTGCAGGACAGGACTGGGTTCAGATCTTTTGTTCATAGGGTTGCTGTGAGTCTTAATCGACTTGATGGCACCTGTCAACAACAAACCCATTGCTGCAGCAGGCAAAAAGATTTATTTAAAAATCTTTTTACTTTTTTTGTCTCTGTCCAAGGAGTAGATCTAATGTCCTTGATCCTGATTTTGAAACCCATGAGTTTGGACCACTAGCATTTGAGTGTTTCTAATGAGAGTTTGCATTTATCTTTTTACTACAGTGTAAAGATCTAGATAAAAATTACTGCACAGGACCTGTTATAAACAGATCATTTCCCCATGAAGGTTTGGAAATGTTAAGATTAGTTTAAACCAATGGTCCTGACAAACAAGCAAATACTTTCCTCTCTGCTCTGTGATAGCTGTGATATGTTCCAATGTTCCAATGCTTGCCAATTTCTCTAATCTTTAGGACAAACAGGTGGTAAAGGAAGAAAAATTACCAAGTCTGGAAACAGGCCCATTACAAGGGAATTACTATTGTTTGATAATCTTAGGAACTTTATTTTTCAGCCTGCCAGAAAGTTTGAAATTATCTAAATGCTCCTATTGAAATGCCTCTGTGCTGTGTGTTCTGACCTTTCCTATTTGTTTGGTAACAGCCCAGTAAATATTTTCACCTCCGAGATGGAGATGGTGCTTTTCCAGCATCAAACCAGCTCCTCGTTGGCCTTTTCTTCCCTCTGGTCCGCTGTTACCCACGCGCCCCACCTCCCTCACCCCAAGGCATCCCTCCACCAGCCTCTGATTGGTGCACAGAGCAGTCTTGCCTTTTACGGACTGTTGCTGAGCTTTTGAAGTGATAAGAGAAAGAGTCCAGTGGCTGCTTTTATCAACCAATCAAATATTTCCCCAACAGATCCCAAAATATTCGGGGGCCAATGACGAGGAAAGGCCGAGAAGCGCCTGCGGCTCCTTGGGGAGCCGGAGCTCCGGGGGTGGAGGCGGGAGGGGCGGAGCTGCGGGGCGCTGGGCCGCCGCCAGCCCTGACCTGTCACTGCCCAGGCCACCGTCGGGATTTGCCTAGCGACGAGTCCCCAGCAGGGGTGTGTTGGGGGGAGTCCTCTTTCCGACCATCAAAATGGTTATCAAAGTTTTTGTTGCCACATCATCTGGGTCCATAGCGGTAGGTGGAAATTTGGGGACTTCCTTCTTCTACTTTTTTCTGAATAACTCCGAGTTGGAAGTAGGAGGAACGAGTAGGGCCGAATGTTGGCTTTAGATTTCTTTTTGAAGAGTGTGTAAGTAAACTGTGGCTTTTCAGTAAGCACGGGCGCCCTTGCTTTCTTCTGTGTCTGTTTTAAAGGAGAGGTGTGTGAAATGTGCAATCTGGGGTACCTGAGTGTGAAAGGGGTTCGAGAAGGGGGCGTGTTTGCTACTAGAATCTTTAAAAGATGATATATGTCACGTATATGATAGAATTAAACCTTTTTTTATGAGTGTTTTGCCATTCATTCGAAAAGAGACTAGATTAAAAAACACTTTGTTTACACTATTTGGAGCATGAGATAAACTCTTGGATGTAAGTTACCTATGCTTTGTAACATGCCGAAAATGTAAACTTAGCATGAGTAATCCTATTATTTGGGGACAATGATGTCAGAGCCCCAAGAACAAATGTTCTCAGGTTATGGTTTTAAAAGTTCTAGGAATTCAAACAGATCAAAAATAGATACTAGACTCGACTTCTTGAAATGGCTTTATCTGATTTCCATAAAACCAAGCTTTAAATTATCCCTTCAATCTCCAGATTCTAGTTTCAATTCTCTGCCATATAGATTTTTTTTTTTTAGAAAGGATAATGGAATGTCTGATTTATTTTTGATACAATCCACACACTTTTATTTTGGGCTTGATACATAACTTTGTCTGAGACTAGTATTTTAGACCAGCAATGTAGCAGAAGTTGAGGACGCCTCGGGGAGAAAAGCTCTTTGTTATCCCCTAGACACACAGAGGAGCAAGGGGGCTGTTTCCTTTTATATCTGGTTCCCGGAGGAGCTCGGATTTCAGCAGTCCCTGAGCCAGAGATGACACCACAAGGGAAGTGCAGCCAGGGTAGCAGCTCCAGTGGCAGCTATTGAATCCACCACTGCTGGCCCTGAAAATTCATGAAGTTTCCAGGAAGGGTGAGAAGACAACAGGAAAAAAGAGCTTGGTCACCTCCATTGTTGTTGTGAACCATTAAGTCAGAACTGACCCATAAACTGACTCTTTGCTGACCCTTTGGCGAGTTTTCAGAGGCAGTTAATCCCACGGGAGGAGATGATTTAGTGATCTCTGTAAGAGATTAATGGAGAAGGAAGGGTAAAAACTCCAAATGTGAGAGTTCCCTGCAAATTTATGGTGATGGATGACTTCAGAGAGTTTTTGTCAATATGCAGTCAATACATTGTTTTAGTTATTTAGATAAAAATTTTACTTTTGGAAGAAATTGGTTTAAAAAATACAATGCTTATTCTTATTGCTGCCCAAATGTATAACTTACTTGCCAATCATGGATAAATTTTGTGAACTTTGCTTCAATGACTTTTTATTCTTCAGAAGACGATGAATAAATTTATGGATTACTCAAGATTTTTCGATGTCTTACCTTCTCGATGCTTGAAAGCTTGATTTAATTAGTCCTGAAATGCCTAGAAGGATGCTGTTTATTTTACCAGGACCCCAGAATTCTGATCCTGTAGCAAAGTTATTTCACCCTGCTAAGCCTCAATTTCCCTATCTGTAAAATGATAAGAATAGTGGTCACCTCATATTGTTGTCATGAAGATTTAGAAATAACATATGTGGGAAATCTGGTACATGTCAGGTCGTTAGTGCTAAAGAAGTATTATTTAATATTATAGTTATTAGCTATTGTTAGTTGATTTAATACTAGTTAATATGCTAATTTCTAGAATTATTAGTTAAAATGTTAGTTCGTGTTAATATTGTGCAAATAGGTGAATTTTTGTTTTGTCTTAAAGAATGAGAATTGATTACCCTTAAGTGTCAGTTTTAATGAATTTTATTTGGGTGGGTGGAGGTCTCTGACCCAGAAGCTTCTTTGTAGGAAACCCTCTGCTGCTCTTGCTGTGTGCATGGTGTCTGATCCACAAAATGTATTCTTGCCTGATGCCTAGTCAACAAGGGCATTAGAATTTCCACTATATGAATGAAATAGATGGAAAAGAAAATAAATTGTAATATCTTTATGCAGAATTTAAAAATATGCAACTATGCATTTTGTCTGTATTTTAACATTTGACCCTGAAGAGCTATTATATATTTTACCACTTCCTGTAGGGTTGGACTAAGAAACCCTGGGGAGTAGGAGAAGACACAACATCTTGTTGTATGACCTTCCTCTGTTCAGACAGTGCCTTTGGCAGTGCAAGGTTTTAGGAGAAAGGGAGAGAAGATTGTCCTCACTGTCTTCCAGAAATGCACTTGCCGTTTGGGCAGTCCCTGGGACTATGATCTTTAAGGACAACTGCTAACTGTGGTTTCTGGGTTTTTTAATTCTCTTATTTTGATGGAAGATATGTTGGTCCTTGAATTAGATTGATCTGAATGTAAACTTTAGAAGATGAACTAATTCAGGGAGCTCTGGTGGCCTAGTGGCAAGAAGCTGCACTGCCATCCCAGAGTGTGAGGTTCAAATCCACCAGATGCTCTGCTGGAGAAGGAGGGACAATTTCCTTTTGTACCGGTCAGATCCGGTTTGACCGTGTACACACACACACACACAAAATAATAAAATAAAAAAAATTTAAAAAAAGAAACTGAACTAATTCATCAGATCGCAGTTTTCTCATTTTGTAATGGTAACAAGAATGCAACTTTGACAATTAAGTGAGCTGAAAATGTACTGGGAACTAGATAGTATAGGTTCTCAAATGATTAAAAAATGTTTCTTTTTTTATGATTACAGAATATGTTTCTATGCATCTTCTTATTAAACTCCTAACAAAGATCTGTGTGGCAAAGGTGGTGTTAAAATAATTTTGCAGATGAAGAAATGGAAAATCAGAACCCTTGCCAGATAGAGATTGTCAGGGGCAGGATGGGAACAGGTCATCTCTGGGTCATGTCTGATATGCCTTTGCTACAGTACAGTGACCTCAGTTGGAAAGACTCCTAACTGTACAAGACAATCAATGTGGAGTGCCAAGTGGGTGGCTCAAATAGATAATGCTGTCAGTTTACTCCCACACGTGACAGGAGCAGGTGGCTTTAGGACAGAGAAAAGCACTATTCTATATGTCAGTGTCAGAGATTATGAACTGCTACTCTAAACAGTGGCACATATGCCAGGTACCACCATATCTTCCAGAGGTGAGATCCATGGAAGATAATGCACCCTGGGGTGCCCACATCATCTGTCATGCTCTTATGTGTGTAGAAAACTCAGACTCATTGCCATTGAGTCAGAACTAATTCATACCAGACCTTCAAGTTGGTTTTCAGAGCCTATGAACGGAACATATAAAACCTGGACCTTTTCTCCATTTTGTAGTTAGGTGAAGTGGTGGACTCTGTACGATGGCGCTCTTGTTTTGGTTGAGGATCTGGGTGGATTGTGTGGTTGTTTTTTTCCATTTTTTCTCTGTTTGCTCTATTGAAATAGCATAGATTTGCTGCAATTATGAACAACTGGGCCATAGGTGTGTCAAACACCATAATTGGCTACCCATCATGGGCAGTTTTTGTTGTTGCTCCCAGATTGATTCAGGCTTGGAAGCAGGCCTGGCATCCATTTTCTAACCTACATGCTGATGGAAAGTCTAAAAACTTGGAGAAAGGATGATAGTTATAGAAAGGCTTCAGGCTTTTTAAAAATTTTCTGTATATATATATATATATATATATATATCTCTATATTTATATCTATATATATCTCCTTCCCTCATGTGTACTCAGTCTATACGGTGGACAAATCATTAAAGAAGTTAGACTCTATGAAGAAACATGTGGCATCAGAATAAGAGGAGATTGAAGAAGCCGTGGAGTGCTCCCAGATGGGTACTTTTGGGTGGTGAGAGACAATGAGAATACATGGTTATGGAGGAATTTGGAATGAAGGAGCTCATGGAGTCTGAACCATACTCTGGTTCTTAAATTCGGTAGGGCCTGCATTTTTTAAAATGGTTTTTAATTTTTTTAAAAAATTTGATTTTAATTGTTTTTGGTCAAACATTCTTCTAGGTTGTATAGCCCTGGTCTCTCCACTTGCTGTACAGAGGTAACTTGTGGTTGCTGTGAAGCTGAACACTGTGACACTGATGAGTCAAATGGGATAATGGTTACCTGTGGTGGACAGTGTTTGGTGAAGATCCCCGATTAAAACAAACTTGGAAGCAGGAGTGGCATCCACTTCCAAAATAGCTTGCCTCCAGAAACTCTATGAACCTGGTGAAAGGATGAAAGTTACACAAGTGTTCAAGACTTTCATTCATAGGGTTGATATGATTTGTCTACAACTCAACGGCACTTAACAACAACAACAACAACAACAAGAGATTGCCTGTAGTTCTCTCATGGAGCAGCTTGTCGATTTGAACCAACTGTCTTTGGTTTGGAAGCTCAACTCCCTAACCACTAAGTCACCAGAGCTCCTTAAAGATATAGAAGGATGTGCAAGTTCTCACTCAAGCCAAGATAGAAGCCACAAGGTTGTGCCCCTGGGCATCCATTCAGATAGCCATATGGACAGAAGTTCTATTTACAAAAAGAAGGGCCAGAAAGATTCCTTGAAGAAGGACCCTACTGAGGAAGAGGATTGTAGGAGAGAGGGTGAATTAAAGAGCCAGGCATGGGTGTGAGGATGCTTAGAGAATGGGGTTGAGCAGTGGTGGCCAGGTGAACTCATGAAATCTGCTGCTCTTCTCTTCCTGGGTTGACCTCTGAGACTCCCACTGTAGGCAAGCCCCAGCCATAGGTAGATTTAAGGGCTCCAGAAAGCCTGTTGAATCACGACTTTGCCCAGTTTTATTCACTTGTGTTTGGGGAATATAGAGGTGGCAACAAATTTTGGCTTTCTTGTTATTTTTTTTTTCTCGAAAAAAGGAGAAGACAGAAAAAGAAAACAATAGTACCGTGCCCCCACCAGTCACTTGGCTTACTATAGAGGCAATTGCTTAC